GTTGCACAGAGAGAAAACTCTAGAAATGTGTAGAAGGTCCCTGTAGTATTGGCTAATGCATGTATATGAGAAAATTTCACAAGGCAGGAGAAAGTGTCACCAAAAAAGGATCAGAGGGAAAATCCCTGTAGCTCACACAAAGACAGTCATAATGCCTGTTCTCCATCCAGAGGGGAAAATCACATAATTCACAAGGCATCAGGGAGAATATACAGAAGAGTTCGCCTTAGTAGTGGGGAAGTTTCAGCCCCTCTACTTAATTAAACACTACTCTGGTCCTACCTAAAAAAGCTTAAAAGCAAGATGTGTGAAGGAATTAAACCAGCTCTGTGTAACTTAATCATGTCCCATAACAAAAGTCAGGCATATTTATGGGAATACAGAAACATGTAGCACCCAACAAGATAAAAATTTAAATGTCTGGCATACACTCAAAGATTGCCAGACATACAAAAAACAGAAGGATATGTTCCATAATAAAAAGAAAAATAAATCATAAAAGTTCACCCAGAAATAATATATACAATAGATTCAGTAAGTTGAGACCTTAAAACATTTATTAGAACTATAATCCATATGTTCAGGAAGATAGATGAAAGATTGAACATGTTAAGTAGAGACAAAATATAAAGAATACTCAAATTGAATTTATAGGCATGAAAACTACAATGTCTGAGATTTAAAAAAAATACACCTGATGTTACAAATGGCAGATTAGATATTATGGAAGATAAGATTAGTGAACTTGAAGACAGAGAAATAGAAACCATCCAAAATGAAGCACAAAGAGGAAAAATACTACAAATAAACAAAAAAGCATCAGTGGACTGTGGGACAACTTCAAGCCCCCTAATATACTTGTAACTGGAGTCCCTGAAGGAGAGGATTTGCAAAACATTTTCAGATGCCCAGAACTTATTCATCTTATAACTGAAAGTGCATACTCTTTGACCAAGATCTCCCCATTTCCCCTGCCCCCCTGGTCCCTGTCATTCTACTTTCTGTTTTAGTGAGTTCAGCTTCTTTGGATACTGCATCTAAGTGAGGTTATACACTATTTGTCTTTGTCTGACTTATTTCACTTAGCATAATGGCCTCAAGGTCCATCCATTTTGTTGCAAATAGCAGAATTTCCTTCTTCCTCGTGGCTGAATAATATTCAGTGTGTGTGTGTGTGTGTGTGTGTGTGTGTGTGTGTGTGTGTGTATTCCTTTTTATCATTTACTTAGGTTGTTTACACATCTTGCCTATTGTGAATGATGCTGCAATGAACATGGGGGTGCATGTATTTCTTCAAGATCCTATTTCATTTCCTTTGAATACACACCCAGAAGTAGGATTGCTGGATCATGTGGTAGTTCTATTAAAATTTTTTGAAGGACTAATGGACACATAATTTTTAATTAAGTAAAAACTATAAACCTAGATATTCAAGAAACTCAGTGAATCCCATGCACATGAAATAATAAAACTATACCGAGGTGTTACATAATCAAATTGTTCAAAACAAGAGAAAATCTTAAAAGTAGCTAGAGGAAAAGTCCATAGATTTCACGTTGGAATAAATGTTGTCAGAAATAATCTAACAAAATCTTAAAGTACTGAAAAGTAAGAACTGTCACTGTAGAATTTTTTTACCTAGTGAAAATACCTTTCAAAAATGGTGAAATAAAGGCTTCTCTAGGTAAAAAAATCCAAAAGGGATTAGTCACCAACAGATCTGTGCTGCAAGAAATACTAAAAGAAGTCCTGCAAGCAGAATGAATATAACAGTTGAAAATCTGGATCTACACGAAGGAATGAAGAGTACCAGAAATAATAACTATGTTGGGTAAATATAAAGACAGTTTTAGTTTTAATATCTTTAAAAGATTATTGTTTAAAGCAAAAATAAAAACAATGCAGTGTGGCATTTGTAACATATGGAGAAATAAAATGTTATGACAGCAGTAGCACAAAGACCTAGAGGGGGAAAAAGTAAATAAATTACTGCAAGGTCTTATCTGTACATGAAGTGGTAAAACATGGCTTGAAAGGAGACGATAACAAATATTAAAGGTATACTGTAAACTCTAAAGTAACAACTAAGACAGCATGGAGTTGTCGCTTATAAGCCAACAAAGGAAAAGGAGATGAAAAAAAATTCTGAAAAAAAATTCTAAGTTGATCCAAAAGAAGTCCAAGAAAAGAGGGAAATGAGATCAAAGGCCAGATGAGATTTGGCCCTGTTTGTTATAGAACATATAGCCTGTCCTGAATAGCACAGGCGGCAAGGAGGCAGGTGGGTGGGTGAGATGTAAGTGAGTGGGAGGTAGGCAGTGGTTGGGTGAATGATGAATTGAAGGTTGTTTTTTTTTTAAGACCTATTTTTTAATTAATTAATTTTGGGGAGGATTAGGTTATGAATGTATGTATGTATTAATGGAGGTATGGGGGATTGAACCGAGGACCTTGTGCATGCTAAGCACGTGCTCTACCACTGAGCTACGTCCTCTTCCCCAGTTGACAATTTATTATATGCTAACCACTGGGTTTTGCACCAGCCACAAAGACCTTCCAGCACCCTATCTCGCTATCTCTTCTTCTCTTCCTATTCTCTCTTAATGTTTTAAAATCAACTTTATTAGGGCAATTTTTAGACACTATAGATTTGCATATAATAAAATGCACCCATTTTAAGTGTACACTCTGATGGATTTTTTTAATGTGTACACCTGAGCAATCACAACCTAAATGAACATATAGAGCATGTGCATCACCCCTAGAAATTCCTGTCAGTTCCCTTTGTAAGCCAGTCCCTCCCCAGCCCCAGCCCCAGACAACTGCTGATCGACTTTCTGTCACTAGAGGTTAGTTTTTTCTTTTCTAGGAGTCCATATAAATGAAATCATACAGTACGTACTCTTTTGGGTCTTGCTTCTTTTACTCAGCATAATATTTTGACATTGTGTTCATTTTTATTGCTGGGTAATATTCCACGGAGGATATATGTACTACAATTTGTTTACCCATTCATCTGTTGATGGAGAGCTGGGCTGTTTTCAGTTTGGGGCTTATTGTGAATACAGCTGTTATGAATATTTGTGTACAAGTCTTTTCATGAACATGTGTTTTCATTTCTCTCAAAACCTAAGAGTGGAATTGCTAGGTCACATGGCGAGTATAAAGTTTTACTTTATAAGAAACTGCAAAACTGTTGTACCATTTTACACACCCACAGTGTCTGAACAGCGTATGAGAGTTCTGGGTGTTCCACGTTCTCACCGACGTTTGGTATTGTCAGTTTCTAAATTTTAATCTTTCTAGTGGATCACTGGCTGTGTAGTGGTTTCTCATCGTGATTTTAATCCATGGTTTCCTGGTTACTAATGATCTCAGCATCCTTTCATGTGGCTTATCGATCATTCACATATTTTCTTTTATAAAGTCTGTTTCAATCTTTTGCCCATTTTAAAACATCGAGTTGTTTGTCTGATTATTGAGTGGTAAGAGTTCTTTGTATATTCTAGATACAAATTCTTCACATAATATTTGTATTGTGAATATTTTCTCTTGGTGTGTGGCTTGTCTTTTCATTTGCTCAACAGCATCTTTTGAAGAACATAAGTTTTTAATTTTGATGAAATTTAAGTGATGACTTCTTTTATGCTTAGTGCTTTATGTGTCTTGTCTAAGAAATCTTTGCCTGTCCCAAGGTCACAAAAATTTACTGCTATATTTTCTTCCATAAATTGTATGGTTGTGGCTTTAACATTTAGGTGTATGCTCCATTTCAAATTAGGTAAGAATTGAGGTTCCTTGTTTCTTCCCTTTACAGATATTTAGCATCATTTGCTGAAAAGATGATTCCCTTTTTCCTATTGAATTATCTTTATATCTTTGTTGAATTTCAATTGACCATATATGTGTGGGTTTATTTCTGGACTCTAATCTGTTCCATCAATCCTATGCCTATGTAACACTTTCTTGATTACTTCGGATTTCCAGTATATCTGAAAATTAAGTATAGTATATGTTCTCCAAGTTTGTCCTTCTCTTTCAAGATTATTTTGGCTATTTTTTATCCTTAGCATTTCCATGTAAATTTAGTATCAGTTTTTCTATTTCTACAAGGAAAGCCTGCTGGAATTTTTATTGAGATGATATTGAATATATAGTTCACAGTAGGGGAGAACTGACATCTTAACAGTGTAGCATCTCCCAACCCTTGAACATAGTATATTTCTTTTTTCTTTAGGTTTTCTTTGGTCTCTCTTAATAATATTTTATAATTTTTAGTGAAGAGGACTTATAATATTTTGTTAAATTTATCTTTAAATATTTCATATTTTTGATTAGTATTTTTAAAAATTTCATTTCCAGTTATTCTTTGCTGGTAAATAGAAATAAAATAGATTTTTATATATTGATCTTATATTCTGTAATCTTTCTAAATTCTCTTGTTGCTTCTAGTAACTTTTTGGGGGTAGATTCCTTAGGATTTTCAACATATATGAGCATGTTGTCTGCAAATAAAGACAGTTTCACTTCTTCCTTCCTAACCTTTATTCGTTTACTTCTATTTCTTATCTTATTGCCCAGTCTCATACCTCCACTATTATGTTGATTAGAAGTGGTGAGACAGACATCTTAGTTTCATTCCTGGATCATTCTTGGTTTCCTTCTTGAATTCCCACACCATGTCATGATTAGATCATATTGATTCTTCCTTTGAAATTCATCTGGAGTCAAGTGACCTCTGATACACTCTATATAATGAGCTGGTTCAATGCATGGACTCTAGAGCCAGAATGTCTGGGTTCAGATCTGGACTTTACCAGTTACTGTCTGTATATACTTGGACAGTTACCTAACTTTTTTGACTCAATTTTTTAACTTATAAAAAGAGTGTGATTACAATGATACCTACTTCATAGTGGGGTTTTGTTGTTGTTGTGTGAGAACTAAGCCATGGCTCGTGGCAAGTGCACACTGAATGTCGGTATCAAATAAATCCCTAGGTGGTCGCACACTTCCAGCCCTGTCCTGTCAGTCTGTTCTCAACACAGCAGCTAGATGGATCCTGTGAAAAGGTAAGGCAGAGCAGATCATGCTCTAGTTCAAAACCTTCCAATGGCTCCCATTTCACTCAAAGTCAAAGCCCTCACAAGAGCCTGCTAGTCTAGGCTGAAGAGGGTCTACAAAAGCCCCCACCTCACAATTCAGAGACTCCCCTCTGCAGGAAGTTGTGTGAGTTGCTGGGGGTGGTGAGGCAGCCCTACCCTCCAGGAAGTGTGTTCTTGCCCAGCCCCAGCTCCCGTTCCCTCCCTGAGATAACAGGGCCTTGTCACTGCACACAGGGTAGTCTCGAACTGGCACTGGGTACAAAGCCCATTCTCAAAGGCTTGACAGGCAAGCTGCGGAGGCTGGGGAGACCCCAGTGAGGTCAGCCCACCCGGCAGCCAAGGTGCCTGACTTCTTGATGAGCTGGTGTCATGTCTAGGTGATCCTGGGGTGAGAGAAGTTCAGCAGCAGCCTCCTTGGCTTTGGAGGGGGAGGGGTGTCTGCCGGTGCCGTCGGGAGGACACGGCCCAGCCTGTGTTGAATATTCTCACTCCACGTCTGGGGCCTCAGAGGCTGTACTGGAAGGACCTTTGTGCTGGGTGCCAGAGATACATGATGAACGAGTCACAGGCCTGCCCTCTTGATGTTTATCATCTAGCAGGGAGGCAGACAAGCAAACGGCCAGTGGGGCAAGCACGGGAGTAGCAGGAACTCGGAGGATGGTAAACGCAGAACCCTGGGGGTGTGGCAGGAAGTCAGGGAAGGCTTCTGGGGAAGGCCACCATCCAAATCCTCAGGAATGAAAGTTGCACCAATCTTCAGTGATTTCTTTAGTGATGGAGACTTGGAGGAGTTTCTTTCCAACAGTTCTGATAAGCAGAGCACTGTCACCTACTTCTTACACACCTGCACTGATGTCACCTGGCCATCCTGTGTGAGTCAGTATCCTTACCTGGAAGCCCAGCCCAGAGTTGTGGTTCTCTCATTCCTGGCACAAGGGAAGTGGAGTGGGTTCTGACGGGCACTGAGCATCCACTGTGGGCCCTGCACTGTGCTGGGTGTCCTCTACGTGTTTGCAGCACGGCTCTGTGAGGTCAGGATCGCTATTTCCATTCTAGAGATGAGCAGGCCGAGGCTCAGAGGGATTCCGTTTTGTCCCAGCCATGCAACTGGGAAGAGGCCCAGCCTGGGTTCGCACATGGATCTTTCAGCCTGCAAGTCTTAGCCCTTCCCTCAGAACTCAGGGCTCACCTTTGTGCCCTCTGACACTCCTGAGCAAAGGGAGGGGGACATTTGTGGTGTCTCTCTCACAGCCTGCAGGCATCCGAATGTTGCAGTGGCCAGGGCTGTGACTCAGTGTGTTCTGAGAGCACCCCCAAACTTCTTACTCAGTCTCTGCGGTAGTCTCGGGGAGGCCAACTCCCTTGACAAGTTAAACTCTGGGGCTGAGCCCTATTCCCTCTCACCGCCTGCCTGCCTGCCCAGCAGGAACCAGTACTCTTGCTGGCCAGTCTCAGGGAGACAGACAGACAGACAGACTGACCGACACCCCTTCCCCATAGATGGTTCCCCTTAGCAGCAGGTAACACGTTAAGGCCCATGTGGATGCTGTGACAGTTCTGCATCAAACCCTTCCTGGGGGCCCATCAGGGCTCTTCACTGAATCCTTCACCTCAAATCTCTGAGTCAGAATTTCCATTCTCATTTTATAGAGGAAAAAGAGGCTCAGGGAGGTTATGTTTTTTCAAGGTCGCGGTGTCTGATTGGGAACCCAACTGACCACAAGTCTATATTCTTACCCCAGCCCTCTCTCCTCCAGCCCACCCTCTCTCCCTTTCTCTGGCCCCATCAGGAGCCGCAGACCCAGCTGCATCTCCGGAACTCGCGCTGCATCGCTCAGGGTGGTTCTCTGAACAGTGGGCGCTCTGCCGGGTGCCAGGCTAAGGAGCCTGTGTTTTCTCTTGGGGACAAGGACAGTTAGCAGGACACCAATGCATGGTCCAGGAGAGGTGACTGCAGAGTTTCAGTTAGGTCGCCGAGACGTCTTGTGGCCAAAGGCTCACCTCCCAGCCCAGCCTTCACATCACTTTTTCACATTTCACATCAGGAGAAGTTGTGAGCAATTAGAACTGGGCTGGGGGCTCCCTGTCCTGGCTGTGTGTTGTAATCCCCTGACCTGGGTCCCACCCCAGAGATCCTGATTCAGTTGGTCTGGGTTGGGAAAGAAATATTACTATTTTTAAAAAATCTTCCTTACCCCAGGTGATCCTAGTTTGCAGCCCCAGGTCAGGACCCCTGGTTTGGATGGTGCAGATTCATGCTGCCCCCACCACCTCCCCACCGCCCTCCGGTTCAGACTCACTGGCCCCATAGGAGGTTCTGAACTGGAACCCAGTGGTGGTGGAGGGGCCTGAGCTGTGGGGCCTCTGCTGAGTGGACCCCTGATGCCCACTGGGGCTGGCTGGGCCATTTGGAGAGCCGGACTCTTCACACATCTGGACAGGGCTGGGCATATCCTGGAAGAAAGGATCCCAGTTCCTGGCTCACCTCTCCCTCAGGATTTCAGTGCTCTAACTTTTTTCCTTGGAAGTCTGACTTTATAGTCCTCTGGGCTTGGCTGAGTGCCACCCCCTTTTGCAGCCACGGAGCCAAGGGCCAAATGAGTGGGACACTCCCCCGGGGCTCCCAAGGCGACAGGCATCTTCTCTTCCTTTCTTCCTCTGTTCATTCCGCTTCTGTCAGTCACTCCTCTTTGGCAAGCCCTCCGCCGCTGCTGAGTCAGGGAACTGATAAGGAGACACAGGCGACACACCCTCATGGATGACAGACAGCTGAGTGGCCATGACAGAGGGTGCGGAGGATGCAGCGGGGTGGGTGCGCTCTGGCAGGGCCAGTGTGGGACAGGGCTGTGCACATTTGCCTGTCCAATCATGTTCTTGCTTTTGGCCAGCCCGTCCTCTGGGCTGACTCCCAGCCTACGTCTTACTCTGCCCTAGAGAAACCAGAAGTGAGGGGTCTGAGCTGTGGCAGGAGTTCTCATGGGGTTCACAGTGCCTCTGAGCAAGGGGCGTTGGGGCAGCTGAACTCACGGGGGCTCCTTCTTGGGCACCTGATGCTCCTCAGACCGCAGCCTCCCTGCCTGTGCCGCCGCCTCTCCGGGTGTTGGTGGGGCACTGAGGAGGGTCGGGGCATCAGAGCCCTTCCAGGCAGAGCTCCTCGTCTAGGGGGGCTTCCTGTTTGATGACTCCTCCTCCCTGCAGGGACACACTGGCCCAGCCGCCTGCCACAGGCTAGAGTCCCCGGGAACCCCTTCCTTTCTTCTCACCTGACCCAATCTCACTATACTCCCAGCCCAACTTTCCCCATAGGAGCTGAGTGTTTGGAGAGAGCCCTATTATCAAGAAGGTGTAGAAACCCTGAAACACTGCCAGGTAGCTTCTTGCAAGCCATGAGGCATTAGGGCCAGCCCTGAGAAGCCTGGAGCTCTGATGCAGGTCCCCCAGGCTCCGAGCCCTGATGAGGGTCCCCCAGGACCTGAGCTCTGACAGTGGTCCGTCAGGCAGTAAGCTCTGTAACACCTTCTGAATAGGGAGTCTTCTGCCGTAGGACCTGGCCTCAGACACTGCAGCTCTGCTGGAGGCTCTCACAACATCCATTTTCAGAATGAATGAATCAGTAACTGACTGGCCCACTTCCCTCTGGCTGTCCCTCCTCCTCATTAGCCCAGGATTCCACACTCCACCCCACCCACCCCAGGAGTGTCTGCTGACCATCTGCTCATCGTTGCCTGCCTTCACCTTTTCCTTCTTTGAGCACTGCACTCTGTGCCCTCTTGGGGGGCATTTAAGCCCATCCTTTCCCTTCCACCACACGCTGCCCTGTGCCTCTACTCTGTCTCCTCATTCCACGAGCACCTCCTCATTCTTCTCCCATCATGGGCAGCAGCCTGCAAAGGACTGGGAGGGCTCGAGAGGCTCCTGGCTGGCCAGCTTTCCCAGGAGGCCAGCACTTCGCAGGAGAGGATGCGGGTCTGCCACTGGGCCCTGGGGAGCACACAGGAGGCTGCCTTCCCTGATGGGGATGGTGAAGGAAGGCCTGTCTGGAAACCCAGGGGATGAATAGTGAGGATGGAGGGAAGGGTCTATGAGGAGGAGAGGGTCAAAGAGAGGATGGGCCTCACTCCCTGAGGGCAGATTTATGGCAGGGCCAGGCGTCTGCTGCTTCCCATACTGTATCACATGTGGCTGCAGGTCCTGACACAGGAGCTGGAGAGAGATGGGCAAAGGGAGGGAAGAGGGGAGGATCAGCCTGAGCGAGCTTGCTCCCGGAGGGCCCGATGGCAGGCTCCCAGTGCAGAGAGAAGGTGCCTAGTGGATTCCGGGACAGGGCAGAGGAAGTCAGGGCAGCATCCAGAGGGGCGCACTCCACTTATCCCCAGTCCAGCGAGTTCCAATCTTTTCGAGCATATCAATCCCCTTTTGGTAACCAAAACCCTGATGTCTTTCACATGATTGACAGTGGTTTTGCCTTCTCTTTAAGCTAGTAATTTCCAGAAAGTGAATTAAAAGCAAACTGTCTACTTAGGTAAGGGCGTGGGACAAAATGGTCCCAAATGCTCTTTAGGATGGAATGTTCACCATTTTTAGAAAGTCAGCTTCATTTCAATAGATTAATTCCTTCCTCTCAGATTTGGTGTACTGTTTTAATTCCATCAAATACACAACTGGTGTATATTTGGACTTCATTAGTTGCATTATTTAAGAAGCCCAGGAATAGCACCAGTTTGCTTAGAAATACTTTTTTTAAAATTATGGAAATCGTCAATTATAAAAGTAAAGAAAATAGTAGAACAAATCCCCATGTGTCCAGGACCAGCTGTAATAATTAGCATATGATGGATCTGGTCTCATCTCCAAACCCCACTCCCACTCCTTCCTCTGCCTCTAGGCACTGGATTCATTCAAAGTAAATTCCAGACAGATCGTTTCATCTGTGCATACTTTAGTTCCTAAGAAGTAAGGACTCTTTCTTCAAAAACATAACCACATGCTATTGTGGCACCTAAAAGTTAACAATTATTCCTTAATGCCATCATGGAATATTTATTCCATCATGTTTAAATTCCTCAGTTGTTTCATGAAATGGCTTTTTTATAAATTGTTTGTTTAAAACATCCAAACAAAGTTCACACATTGATTGAATTTGATGGGTATTACTTAAATCTCCTGCAATATCTGGCATTTCTGCCTCTCTCTTTTTAATTTTGTTCCCCAGTCATTTATTTATTGAAGAAACCAAGTCATCTGTCCTGCAGAGATTCTCATATTCTGGACTTTGTTGATTGCACCCTCTTGGTGTCATTCACATGTTTCTCTGTTCCCGCTTTCCTGTGAATGGTAGTTAGGTCTGGAGGTTTAATCAGATTCATGGGCAATTTTCTGTAAGAACATTTCATAGATGGTGCAATTTGGTTCTTATTTTTTGCAGCAAGAGTTGCATAAATGCTTGTCTCTGTTTTTGTGAGCTATTCATTGTAGAGTGATGCACTGCAGAATTTTTCATCAACATTCTAGCTAGTGGTTTTAAAGGACGGTCATTAACAAACATTTCCTAGATTAATTATTACATTAGGTTGTGCAAAATGATTTTCAAATTCTGTCCACCCCTTTTGAACTTATTAGCTAACATTCATCTACAAAGAACTTTCCTACATCAACTATTTAGTTACCCTGATGTATAGTTTGTGCAGGAATTGCAATAGATGCTTGCCTTTTACCAATTTTCAAAACAATAAGCTGGTGTCCTAATAATTTCTAAAGGTGACCAGTGATGTGGGTGTCTGTCTGTCTGTCTGTCTGGGACCTTATCTTTCCAAGAGCTACCAAGTTAGCCACCACAGCCAAAGACATGCAACTCCTAGGTCAGAGATGGAGACCTTTTTCTCACATCCCAGCAAGCAACATGCACTTCGTGTTAGTGTCAGTCCTCTTATCTCCCAGGTCCCATGGGGTGACATGGAGCAGCCCAGGTGGATGTCATAATGTAATAGGCCTGCATCACAGTGAGAAACACTTAACTTGGAGGATGAGGAGTCACCTTTGTCCTGGAGGAAGATGTTGATCATCCTCCAGGTTTGCTCTCTGCTAACATAACCCTGATCAATGACCTGAGTAAAAAGTGGCCAGGGCCTTGCATCTTTTGCATATCCATAAAAGACATGCAGGGGTGCTCAGTGCCCATGGCCTGAGTCAGTGTTTTTGTTTTTGTATTATTATGCATGGATTCAGTTTTTTAAGTTTATTTGATGTAATATTTCATTGCAGTCATTATTCATTTTGATGCTCAAATCATTCTGTATCTGGTCAGTGGGACTTGACTCCTGTGATATTCTGACATGACCCCAGTAGTCTCGGGTAGCATCCTTGCTTTCTAGTTTAACAAAGTTTTGCAGGCTTACCTTGTACATTTCTTGCTTCAGCCTCTGGACATTTCTCCCAGAAGACTTTTATTGGGATATGGTATTTAGAGACCATAATCTAGGTGCTGGGGTGCTCATTGCTACTGGGTAAGTCATTAATTCTATGTCTTTTCAGAGGACAGAGCTAGGAAATAGGTATTTGTTTTTAAATATAAAAATAACTTAAGAGTCAATATTCATATTTCAAATTAAACTTTAAGATTACAGAATTTGACTTAACTTTAAAATTTTTGTATTTATATCTCTTTTCTCTCTTTTTTAAATTTCTTTTTGGGGAGGGAGGCAATTAGATAGATTTATTTTATTTATTTATTTATTTATTTATTTATTCATTCATTCATTTGTTTATTTATTTATTTATTATTTTTTAATGGAGGTACCGGAGATTGAAGACCTTGTGCATGCTAAGCACACACTGTACCACTGAGCAACACCCTCTCCCTGTATCTTTTTTCTTATGTCGGAAATTTTGAGTCCTGCTAACACTAATATAATTATTTATTTTATCCTAATATACAATAATTTCAGAATAATATTACTAATATTATCCCCACAGTATGATTATTCAACTGAGCAATTTAAGATTTCCTTGCAGTTTATTTTATCGTATGTCTTATTTGAAATATTCAGCCAAATTACTGTATTTTAATGTTAATAGTAACTCTCTGCATGGTTAAGCCATCAGCTTGATATCCAGTTAGGTTCATTTCATTTAATTTTCTTTAATTATTCTCTAAAACATCTACATGATTGCAAAGTCAAAGTAAATTTAGAGAAATTCGGCTTCCATTCTCTTCCCCTGCACCCTTTACACTTCCTCTCCATACAGGAAACCATTTGTATTTCCTCTTCAACTGTTGTTGTTTTTGTCTTTAAATGTAGACAAATATATTTATATGTATTCCCCCAGAACTTATATAAAAACTAGTGTACTATCCAGATGATTCTACACCTTGCCTTTTCCCCGTAGAACAATACATGCCCTGCAGATTATTCTGAAGGAGTAGAAAATGAACTAACTTCCCTGGTGCTAAAACTGTTTGCTGATTTTTTTCTAAGAAATCCTGCAATTTGCTTTCTCTCTCTTACTACTTTTTATGCTAAACAACCCACAAACATTCAATAGCTTTAACCAGGAAGAAGGTAACGGGCCAATAATCCCAGAAGAATGGACAGCCCCTCTGTAAAAGAATGTAAGGATGTAGCACCTTGTAAAATGCCCTGACTGTTATCACCTTTTCTGTTCCATCCAGTTTTCTGTAAGACCTCATAAGATCCCAACCCCGAGATGGATCCACAGTCCGTGAGGCACGAGCCTGCTGTGACTCCCCTTTGCCTGGCAAAGCAACAAAGCCGCTCTTTTCTAATGCTTCCAAACTCTACCTCCAAGTATCCACCTGTTTTCAGGGAACAGAGTCTGGTTTTGTAGCAACAATACCAAGAATGTATTCATAATTTTCTTTATTCTGTTTCATAGCTGCATGGAGCACCACTGTATTGACATGCTCTGGTTTATTATACCAGTCCCTGATTGCTGGAAATGCAGATTTCCAGACTTTTGCTATTATAAACTGCGCTTTGGTCTTATAACATGTTTTGTATTTTTTGCTAGTGTAGCTTTGGGATAGGTTCCTAGAAGTAGGACTGCTGAGAAAGGGGGTAAATACTCATGTAACTTTGCTAGATATTACCAAATTCCCCTCCATAGAGATGGTGCTATTTTGCATTTCCATCACTGCATACATTTTAAAGAGTGGCGTGACAGTTTTATTTAATATTTACAATAGGTCAAAAATTATTTTCAAGCAATTTAGACATATGATAAAATACTTCAGAGTTAAAAGTCCAAAGTGGTTTCAAAAATCTTTTAGGGTTTCCCAAGCAAAGCTTTAAAAACAAGTGGCATAGGAGACTGTAGAATGATTGGTTTATATTCATGTCATTCCAAGGTGAAGGGTGAGGCTTTGACTCCAGGTAGACCTGTGTCCTCGTTCCTGCCTCTCCATCTGTTGTCTGGGTGACCTTGGACAAGTCATTTAACCTCTGGGACACCTGGGGAAAGCATTTGTAGGAAGTGTGTGATGAGATAATGCGTGAAAAGCCCTTGGCACAGAGTCTAGAGCAGGTGGACCACATTGCGGGAGAAATTATTAGAATTTGACTTGTTATTGCCAGGCCCACACTGCCTCTCCCCATCCTTCTGAATCAGAGTGAATGATAGGGGAGAAGGTTGAGCAACTTGTCCCTGTTTGCCCTGGACTTTTCTGGCTTTAGCTCTGAAAGTCCCATGCCCTGGGAACCCCCTCAGTCCTGCATAAACTGGGATAGTTGGTCCCCCTCTTGGGGAAACAGGCTGGGGTTGAGGGCCCCAGGGACCTCTGCCAGAGGTTGGAGACAGCCCCCTCCAGCCCCCAGCACCCCCACCCCCGCCCCGTTCTCAGAAGGTCACACAGCAGGACAAAGCAAGCTGCTCTCACAGAGGGGACCAGAAATATTTTGAAGTTACAACAGAGCCCTCATCTTGAAAGGCTGACTGCCAAGGGAGATTGGGGCTGGGGTGGGGCGTGTGGTGCCCCAATCCTTTCTCTGAGTCTGTAGCTGAGAAGGATTTTCCTTAAGGCCTTGGACTTTTTGGTATCAGCTGTAACTGAAAACCCCTTGGGCTGCCCCAGCATGGTTGATATTTCATTGATAACAATAGTGAGGCGTATGGTTACCCTATTAGCTAGTCCAAAATACAGATTTTAATGTAATAAAAAGCAACCTCAGAAAACGGTATTTAATCAGCGCTAGTCACAAGCGGAAGTCATTGTTTAATGTTGACCAAGCTAGTGAGAACACTGATGTTTGGCAGCCTGAGCTTCAGGACTCATGGCAGGGATTTTCAGGCCAGACTTGTGTCACTCAGCTCCAATTATTTCAATATTTTCGCAAAAGAAAAATGACCCTCCATAGACGGCAGGGCACCCCACGATTGCCAAGAAGCTGGCCGCTCAGCCAGAGAGTTCAGAGACGTGCTGGGCTCCCCCGACCCACCTCCGACATCCTAGGGCGGCCGAGCCTCCCCAGGGACGATGCCGGCGCTCAGCTCTCTGGCTCCTGCCAAGAATCAGGCTCAGGGTGTGGCACTCCGACCGCTCGGAGGTTTAGTCCTGATGGGTTTATAACATGAGTCATACAACCAAATCCCGTTAATTGCCCCTGAAATTATAACTTCATGTTCAGAAGAGCTTATCAGTTCTTCAAGACCCAGCCTCATCTCTCTCGCAGGGCTCTGTGGGGGGAAACGCGCGCAGCCTCCGGGTCGGTTACTCACTCCCCTGCTTCCTTGGATCTCGCCATCCGCCAGGCCTTGCCCCCCCCTTCCTTTCAAGTGCACTGCGTTCCAGCGGCCCATGGGGGATGTGCGGTCGGGTGGGGTGGTCTGGCACCCAACAGCGCCCAGTGAAGTAAGTGAAGCTTCTCCGCTGCGGGCAGCCCTGGCAGGGGTGGTCCCAGGCACCGGCAGGATGTCCCCTCCCAGCCTCAGGCCTTCCATTATCACCCTGATGCTGCCGAGGGTGGGCACCAGACTGAGGACTGGTCAATGGGGTCTCCTCTCCTGGGACCTTGATTCAGACTGCAGCTGCGGGAGTGGTTCAGAGTTGGCCTGGTGCTCCAGACCCCCTGCCCGCAGGGCCTCCACAGGCCCTCACGTGCCTTCCAGCCTGGGTGCTCTGAGGATGGGTGGGCTGGAGCCCGTGGCATGCCTGGGACCACAGCACTTGGCTGGCACCCAGTGGTGAGGAAGGCCTGGGGGCCACCTTGCTTGGGGACTTGCTTGTGAAGCAGTCTGGCTCCTTAGAGCTTAGGAAGTTTTTAAAATGTGAAAAATTAATTCCTTGTTTTGATTAAGTAATACATAAACCTGATGCAAAATGCAAAATGTGTAATAAAGCCCATAAAAACGAAATCTCTATCCCGCTCCTGTTTCCCACCCCATGCTGCCAGCATCTTAGTTCCCTCGGAAAGCTAACCTATATATATACACTAGCATGGTGACTTTTAACATCACAAATGGAATTCACCTACTCACACGCTGTTCTGCATTCTGCTTTTTCTCACTAATGACACCATTGAGTCGCTAGTTTCTGATGGGAGGACCTAATTGGTGCTTTTGTTGGAAGGAACAAGGGCAGCTTGAAGACATTTGCTTCGAGGTGGGAGGCTGGTCTCCAGAGGCCTGCAGAACAGGAGCTGGGGGCAGCCTCTGAGTGGCCCTGTGGCTCCTCCAGTGCTACTGAGGCTGGAGGGAAGGGGGCAGGGCTCAACCATTAAAAGAATGACACAACAGTTGGCACCAAGATGATGGAAGGTTCAACTCCCACTAGACCTTGCGCTTCAGTGTACACTTATTGAAATACAATAGCTGCTGAATGACACTCCCACAGGCACCAGGACAGTTTCAAGGCTGACCATGGAAGGTCAAAAAGCGGGTGATGGCCCAGTTCCTGGGAATCCCAGCCTCTTCCCCAAAGGAGTTGGAATAATCCTCCCACTTGTTAGCATATGAAATTACCCAGCCCATAAACACTAACTACCTCGTGGCCAGTCTCACTTTTCCTAGCCAACCCCATCCTCCGAGGCCACCACGCTCCCTTCTGAGTAAGATGGCCCGCACTCTGCCTATGGAACGTGTATCTCCTAGACCTTTCTCTTGCCTTTTGAGAAGGCCCGTATATGGAGTGTGTATTTCTGAATAAATTAACTTTTACTCAACTGTGGCTCACTCTTGAATTCTTTCCTGCGTGAAGTCTCCCTTGGCAGGGCGTGTCCCAGGGACTTGCCTGAGACCTGAGATACGGCCATCCTCTTGGACCTCATTTTCCTATAGCGCTGCTGTCTTCTTCTGGGAGAAATAGTTTCAGAGGCTTAACAAAGGCCATCAAGCAAGCTCTCATTCCAAGTATGTCTTCTCCGTGTGTGTGTGTGTGTGTGTGTGTGTGTTGGCTACACACTATTTCTGGCATCACTTCCTCGTGCAGGCTGTGATAGGGTGGGGAAAATCAGGCCTGATTCATCTTCCTGCACTGAGCACCGGGCCTGGTGCACAGTAGGTGCTGGAGAAATCTGATCATCTCTTTCTGGTCCCCACAGGGTGAATCCTACACTTTAGCCAATCTGCAAGATTGTTTTCCAGTTTCTCAGCCCCTGCTCAGTAAACAATTTTGTTGTTTCTTATTGTATTTAATTTCTCTACCTGGAATACCCTCCCAAGTTCATGATTGCCTGTTGATGTTGTGAGCACGCTTTCTGGCCCTCCTTCTCTGGAGTGCTTTCCCTGGCCAGCTGGACCAGCGAAAGGCCACCGAAGGCAGTCCTCTGTCCCACACAGGACTTACTCACGCACAGTAACCCTCCCGTACCTTGCTCCCAATCCTAACATCGACACTAGCAGCACCATATTGTACATGTGGCTGGAACAGCTCTTCATCCTGGCCTGGTGGCTCCCAATGGCACTTGAACACCTGGAAGCTGGGGGCTGGGGCAGCCTGGGGCCTCATCCGTGGACCTGCGGCTTTTCCATGGGAAGCCACTGTCTCTGCAGCTGGGGACCCTCAGGGGGTAACTTCTCTTTCTTGCTATCTCCTGGCTAATCTTCTCCCTAGACTCCTGAGAAAGAGGGCACTGGAGACTGACGTGGGGTTGGCCCACAAATTCCCACCACGCGTGAGGGCTGAGCTTTCTCCTCCTGATCTGCTAGGTGCTGGCCTGCCTGGGGGTTGGTGTTACCTGACCCCAACAGCTGTGGGTGGAGGAGAGAAATCATGGCTGTCTGGGGCTGCCCTCAGCATCTACTCATCTAATCATCACTATTCAACAAGTCTTATTGGAGGTCCTGGTGTGGACTGCTGGGCAGTGGGGATAGAGCTGCGAACACCACCACATCTGGCCCTTGAGGAGCTGTTGATGGTCACGATGAATAAATGAGCCACAAACAGAGAACTAAGGTGTCAGCAATGCTGTGAAGCAAGTAGCGGACAAGACGAGGGTGTGCAGTGGGGGGGACACCGGCAGTTTGTCAGGACAGTCAGGGAAGGGCTCTCTGTTGAAGGGGTACCCAAGCAGGGACTCAAGGAAGTGAGGAGGGCTGTGTGGGAGAGGAGGGAACAGCTGGGCTGTGGGGGCTGTGGGGTTCAGGGAAGAACCAGGGCCCAGTGTGTGCTTGGGAGGGGTGAGCAAGGGGGCGGGGGTAAGAGATGAGGCCCAAGGTAAGTGTGCTGGGGGTGGGGTGGGGTGATTGGGAGCAGATTGTACAGGTCATGGAAGGCACAGGCCATCTGGACATGGATGTACGGCCTTGGAAAGGACTTTGGATTGACTCCATGTGAGCTGGGAAGGGTCCTCTGGACTCTGAAATATTCTGGAAGAGTGAAAACACCAGGCTAACTTTGAAATGATTGCTCTGCAGCCATGTAGAGAGCAGACCGTAGAGGCATGAAGGCAGAAGCAGGGAGAACAGCAAGGAAGTCCTGACAATGACCCAGGTGGAAGATGGTGCTTGTGGTGGGGCGGCCGCTGGGGAGGTGATGGGAGGTGGTCCATATACTGAGGGCAGGGCCAGCAGGGGTTGTTGATGGATGAGAAGTGGGGTGTGGGAGGGAGAGGC